GCTTCGAGGTCGCCCTCAACAAGGACGGGAAGCCGCAGGCGCGGAACCTGCAGGCGCCGCGCGGGCAGGACCGGGGGCCACCAGAATTGGGGTCCTGGGGGCCGCAGAAATCCATGGCATACGGCCTCGCGGGGCTCCCAGGCCTCGAAGGGTTCCCGTATCTCTGCGATCGAAGAAGAAAAACTGCATGAACATAAACTTTTGGCACTCCGCGCGGATTTCTTGGATCCGGGCCCCCCTGGCGGCGCCTCCGGCGCCGCCCCTGGCGCGATCCGCGCGCCAGGGAGAGGGGGTCTGGCCGCAGAGCGCTTAGAGGCACCCACCCCCCGAAGCAGCGCGTTCGACCAGAGATACGAAACTGCAGGCCCCGACAGGATGGCAACGGGGGCGCGTGGGCCGGGCGCATTTCCAGTGGGGGGCGGCCGCATTGAGCGCTCTGCGTTGGGGGGGCTGCGTTCCGGTTTTGCGCCCCCCGCCCACTAACTATTCCTTCTCCATTGCTTCCCGGCAAGGCTTTGCCGAGAGCGCTTCGCAACCAGCGGAGACCCGCGTCGCCAGGGCCCGCAGCGCCCGCGACGCCTCGCCTCCTCCCCGGGTGTCCCGAGGGGGCCCCCAGGCCGCGAGTTGCGGTCAAGGGGGTGTGCCAGGGGGCGCTCAAGGCTGAAGTCATAGTGTCCTGGACGCCCCCCCCGACCGCGGGGCGCGGTCTAAGGGGGGGGCGTCCAGGGGGCGTCCAAGGTTGAGCCACGGCGTCCCGAGGCGCCTCCCTTGACCGCGAGGCGCCCCCCTGGCCGCGAGACGCGGTCAAGGGAGGGGGCCCGGGGGGGGCGTCCAAGGTCGACGCCGCGGCGCCCTGCGGCGCGCCCCCCAACCGCGGGGCGCTCAGTGGGGGGGCCCAGAGGGGTTTCAAGGTTGAAGCCACTGTGTCCTGGGCGCCTCCCCGGACGCGAGACGCGGTCAATGGGGGACGTCCAGGGAGATCTGTCCTGAGGTGCCCTGTCACAACGTGTATCCGATCGATCGCGTCCACGCAGCCAAATGAACGACCCGCTCCATCACTGTACAGGGGAGCTTCACAAGGACCCCGCAGGCCCCCCACGGCTCGCGCCGCCCCCTCATCGATTCCTTTCGAGTTTCAAGAATTTGACCACCATCAGTCTACACACTTGAGTCATGCGCTGCCTGAGCCATCCCACCAACAACCGCCTCAGCCATTGCAGTAGCACGCAGCCGCGTGGCCGATTTCATAATAATCGACGAAGGCACATCTGCAAATGGTCATCAGGAAATTCTGTGGTCATCGAATCTCACCCGTTCCCCCCATTCCTCCATCAATCTATCCCCCACCCCTCGACGATCTTGGTTGGAGGGCGGAAGGGAGTGGCGAAGTTGGAATCGACGGAGCGCATCGCAGAAAAGCGAGACATGAAATGCACCAAGCAATTCACAACGAAAGAACCGTGCATTCAATGCACGCGCGTTGGGTTCAGAACTGTGTGCCCAGTGGCTGGCTGGCGCTCAGACAACACGTTTGCCCATGTTGGTTCCCGAACGTTGCGTGTCACGGCGGCGAGGGCGCTCTTCGGTGGTCTTCGGCTGTCATCGATTCGATTTCGTTGCGCGTTTGATATCGTGCGTTGGGGTACCGAGGGCCCGGGCCTCGAACTGGCGCGCCCTCCCGAATTTCCCCTCCCCCCGAGGGCCCATTCAGGCCCTGGGGGACAGCGGGCGTCTTTCTGGCCTCCGGGACATTCTCGCGCCCCCCGGTGCGTTCCCCATGGCCCGCGGGGACGGCAAGAAACGACCAGGGAGGTCCGGGGGCGCTCCGAGACGCACAGGACGACCTCAAGACGGCCCAACAGCCCCCAAGATCAGCAACAGGTAACAATTAGTTCTTCCCCGGTGGTTTCCCGAAAACTCTCGAATTCTCGCCTCTCTTTCGAGCTTCAGCGTTCCAACACAGCCCGAGGGCCCCAACAAAACTTCTCAATGCGGCCAAAAAAACCGGAGGGCCCCCAGGGCGGCCCAGAGGACCCCAAACCAGCCCAACAGGGCTCCAGGCCAAGCGAGGCGGCAGGTTTGACCAAATGCACTACACACATGCACATACATACACAGATGCATGCATTTATGCGTTCTGCGGGGGTCGATGCGAGTTCCACGGGCGCTGCTGGAACCTGAGCGCGCGCGAAGCGCGCATGGTTCTGGTTGGCATTTCATTCTACTCGAAGAGGAAAAAAACGCCATGCATATAAACTGTTGGCGCTCCGCGCGGATTTCTTGGATCCGCGCTGGGCCACCCCTGGCGGTGCCTCCGGCGCCGCCCCTGGCGCGCTCCGCGCGCCAGGGAGGGGGTCCGGCGCAGATCCAAGAAATCCGCGCGGAGCGCAAACAGTATGTTTATGGTGTCCTTTTCCAATTATGCACATCCTGCTCTGGTGTACAGTTAGCGTCCTCCTCGGGAGGGGAAAGATGGAGGACTTTTCAGCGGAGGCCCCAACCGTCAAGGAGGGTCGCCGTTCGTCCGCCCCGCACATCCCGCGTCTTCGTATGTGACTGTTTTCGGCGCTTCGTGCATGTCACCTGGCAGCCGCTTCAACTCACCGAGCGCGTTCCACTTCTCGCAAAGTGACTACTCGCAAACGCTAGAAAAAAACGTGTCCGCCTCTAGGCAATGGATCGTGAATCTCTTTGGCGGATGCAGACCCTTTGCGAGTAGCTACTTTGCGAGTAGTGGAACACTCTTGTCTATCAACGGCAACGCGCGTCATTCGTGAAACAACCCCGGCCAGCCTTGCAGATCTTCAGAGAGTATCCAGTTGTTGCCGCGCATATCCGCCAGCTTGTTCGGGGCAGCTGCGCAGCCAGGCCGCAACGATGCGCGGGCGTTGCGTCATACAGTCCTTGCGCTGCCCATGATGGAGCTAGCGTGCGGTCTCATCCGTTTCGCGGGAGCCGCCGTGGGCCCTCCTGCGCCCCCCCCAATATGTGTCTATGTCATGTCCGTCGGACGCGCCCGGGCGACCCCGACGCTCAGAAAACAAAATATATCTATACGACCACCCTGCGGGTGATAAGGAGGTGAGGGGGGAGGGGGAACCAACGTCTCACTCAATCGATCTCGCTATCGATCTCACATTCGATCTCATTATCGATATCACTATCGATCTCGCTATCGATCTCACAATCGATCTCACAATCGATCTCACAATCGATCTCACAATTGATCTCACATTCGGTCTCACATTCGGTCTAACTGTCGATCTCACTATCGATCTCACATTCGATCTCACAGTCGATCTCACATTCGGTCTCACATTCGGTCTCACTATCGATCTCACAATCGATCTCACAATCGATCACACTATCGGTCTCACAATCGATCTCACAGTCGATCTCACTATCGATCTCACATTCGATCTCACAGTCGATCTCACATTCGGTCTCACATTCGGTCTCACTATCGATCTCACTATCGATCTCGCTATCGATCTCACTATCGATCTCACAATCGATCTCACAATCGATCTCACAATCGATCTCACATTCGGTCTCACATTCGGTCTCACTGTCGATCTCACTAACGATCTCACAATCGATCTCACAGTCCATCTCACATTCGGTCTCACATTCGGTCTCACTGTCGATCTCACAATCGATCTCACAATCGATCTCACTATCGATCTCACAATCGATCTCACATTCGGTCTCACTATCGATATTACAATCGATCTCACAATCGATCTCACCATCATCATCAACAACACCAACATCATCATCATCACCATCGCCATCATCAACATCATAATCATAATCATCATGATCATGATCATCATCATCATCATCATCATCATCATCATCATCATCATGATCGGGACACCGACGGGACACCGACGGGACACCGACGGCACGCACGAACACGACACCGAAATCGATTTCCCGGTAGGGGGGCTCTCCGTTCCACTTCGATCTCACCCCCTCACCTCCGATCTGAGCTCCGTGGCGGGCGCTTTCTTGCCATACCGCTCGGGAAACAATGTACTACAAGAGCTCGTGCTGTATGTGTGGGTCGGACGTGCGTCTTCAACAGAGGCCTCGTAGTATTAGTTTGTCATTCTGCGCCCCACCCTTCTGGGGAACCAGCCCGCAACTTCCGCGATCACGGGGGAGGAGGAGGAGGAGGAGGAGGAGGAGGAGGAGGAGGAGGAGGAGGAGGAGGAGGAGGAGGAGGAGGAGGAGGAGGAGAGGGATGAGAAGGCAGACGCGCATCACGCCTCTGCGCTAGATGCCTGAAAAGATTTGGCCTCTGCTTGCGGATCAGCTCGATTTGATGTGTCCTTCCACGCTTCGCTGAAGGTGGACAAGGAAGAGAAGTCGAGATAAACAGCTGCACTTGTCGACGTTATGTGCTGAGTGTGTCCCCGCCCTCTTGGGGCCCCTGGGAGCGTCTCGGGGGCATCGTGTGGCCTCTTGGGGTGCACATCCAGGCTTCTTGCCCGCTCACACTGCTTGCCGCTCGTGCTTCTCCATCGAGCCCCCCCCCTTGCTGGTGACCGCCGTGGGCGGATTTATTGACCCTGCTGTCTGAGAACTTTCATCGGGAGGGAGGCAGGGTGGAGGTTGAGATCGAGCGCCCCCTTGCCCAGCAGGAACCCCCTCAGGGTCTCCGGAGCCCCAGGCGCCCATGGAGGCTTCCAGACGCCCACAAAGTAACAATAAGCGAAAAACTTCGGTCATAGTTCATCCATCCTCCTCTTCTGCAACCATCGAGCGACAAAGAAACATTCGGACCTCCATGGTGTTCACTGAACGGGCCAGGGCGTTTACTACACAGCCACGTCTTGTCCGATTCCTGCTTAGATGCGTTTGGTAATGGGCAGCGAATAAGCTTCCCGTCCTGGTTTTTCCACGACTTGAGGGGGTGAGCAGGCAGGGAGGAGGGAGTGGCAGGGGCGGGAGCGGACGGTGGCTGGTTGGGCCGAGGGCGGGGGTAGCATGCGCCCGGCCACCAGGCTGCAGCACGCATCTTAGCCTCGCAGAGTGTGGCGGCTCCGGGCGGTGTTGGGGTGCGCCCTGAGGTCCCCAGACCCCCTCGAGTCATGAGATCACGGCGGACGGTTTTTATTTTCAGCATATGGCTGGGGGTCCTTACAGGGCCTCGGGACCGTCAACACACCACTCATGTTGAAAACGCGTTCTGGGGAATTTGTCGAGACCCCTGGGGGTCGACGTTATGACAACAACAAAAAGCATGACGTTGGGGGTATGGGTCTAGGGTCGTGGCCATCCTTGAAATCCGACGCCGCGAAGAAACTACGACGCCGTTCAAACAACACGACCTGAACCCTGGACCACATCTTTCTGCGACAGTTCTCGAGCCAGATCGGATTGTGATGGTCCAGCGTGGAAGAGTTGCGACGCCCGGATCTCAGGGATCGTCGCTGCGGTGGTCGCGGTCGTCGTCGTCGTCGTCGTCGTCGTCGTCGTGGTGGCGGTGGTGGTGGCGGTGGCGGTGGTGGTCGTCGTGGTCGTCGCCGTGGTGGTGGTCGTCATCGGTGCCGCCGTCGCCCCCCCCGGTGGCGCCGCCAGCCCACCGGCGAGGAGCTCGCGGCAGCGGTGCTCCGGCAGCCCGCCGGGCCCGTGGTGGTGCCACCTTCCTCGAGCCCCTGGACGTCGACGCAGGGCCCCGCCGCCCTGGCCCCGGGAGGCGACGATCGGGGGCCCGAAGTCCGTGCGGGCCTCCGAGAGTTTCTCACATGCCGGTCCCGACGCCCGACGCCCGACGCCCACGAAGACCACGATGTCAACGACGACAGTGGCGACGACGAGGACCGACGACGACGACGGAGAGGGTCGTCTCGCTATGAAGTAAGAGTGTCCCAGGGGAAGCATGTCTTCAAGAATTTGGGTCCGGGACCAGTTTTCCTCAGGACCCGTTACGGTCGTGCCAAATGAACGGGAATGCAAGGAACCGCAAATCTCAGAAACATGTTAGCCGTGGACCCTAAGCAGTGAATTATTGCACAGCGGAGGTGGTAACTACGAGGTGGAAGATAGGTGGTGTGGGCTATGTGGTTCAAGTTATGTGGAATGAGCCGGACGTGTAAATCTGGTGTGAGTTGGAGGCTGAAGCGATGCGGTGCCAGGCGACTTGATGAAAGGACTCGAAGTCTCATCGCTGTGGTGCTAGCCAGCTGGCGCAAGGTGCACGTCGTGTAAACGATGGTGTGCAGGCTGCCTCGTGGAGCCCGTGGAGGGCACGCCGGTGCCGCGTGAGCGCTGCTGCGCCGACGAGGCGCCCACGAGCAGGCACAGGCGCGCAGGCGCCCAGGGGCGCCGCCGGGCGGGCCCCGTGGGGGGGGGCGCCTCGGCGCAGGCGCGCGGGGCGCCCGCGTGCGCCCACGAGGGGGGGGGACCTCAGCGGTGCTGCGGCGATCTCGTGGGCCGTCTTCGTCTCCATGTCGTCCTGCAGCGAGGGCGGAGTGAAGAGAGAGAGCGAGGGGCAACGGAGACGAGAAGCTCTGTTCAGGTTCTCGTCCCTGGCGCCCACGGGCGGGAAGGTGGCGAAGCCTCGGCGGACCCACCCCGTGCCTGGGCAAGAGAAGCGCGAACCCCAAAAGGCAGGCGCTTCCCAGGGGAGTGCAACTGCGGAGGCCCGCGCGGAGTTCGTGGGTCTGTGCTGGGCCCTCCTCACCAGGCTCGAGCCGGGCCTCTGCAGGAGGAATATTCAAAAATAGGAATACCTCAATTGTCTGGGGGACGATTTCTTCATTCCCAACCCTCCTTGGTTGGGTATTCGTTTTGAATCGAGCACTGCGGTCGCGTCCTTCTCCCGCCTCTCGCCTGCTGTCTCCTCCTGCCTTCTCTTCGCCGTTGATGGGGGCTGCGAAGTGCGACACTCACGCCACTTTCGAGGGCAGCTGGTGGGTCCAGCGGAGTGAGGCACCGCGTAGATCTGAGCGGGACCTCGCAGACCCTGGGGGGGCCTGCGATCTGGGACATTTTCGTCATTTTCGAGAGCTGCTGGGGAGGCCAGCAGAGTGGGCACTCACCGCGGATCCGAAATAGACCTCGCCATCCCTGGGGTGCTGCGATCTGCGAGGCCGTCGCCACTTTCGAGGGCAGCTGGGGAGGCCAGCAGAGAGGGTACTCACCGCGGATCCAATTTTGATCTCGCCATCTCTGGGGGGCTGTGCTCTGCGAGACCGTCGCCACTTTCGAGGGCTGCTGGAGAGGCCAGCAGGGTGGGTACTCACGGCGGATCAGAACTAGACCTCGCCATCCCTGGGGGGCTGAGATCTGCGAGACCGTCGCCACTTTCGAGGGCAGCTGGGGAGGCCAGCAGAGAGGGTACTCACTTCGGATCCCAGGTAGACCTCGCCATCTCGGGGGGCTGCGATCTGCGAACCTGTCGCCACGTTCGAGGGCTGCTGGGGAGGCAAACACAGAGGGTGCTCACCGCGGATCAGGATTTGACCTCGCCATCCCTGGGGGGCTGCGGTCTGCGAAGCTGTCGCCACTTTCGAGAGCTGCTGGGGAGGCCAGCAGAGTTAGCACCCACCGCGGATCCAAGGTAGACCTCGCCGTCCTTGGGGGCTGTGATCTGCGAGACCGTCGCCACTTTCGAGGGCTGCTGGAGAGGCCAGCAGGGTGGGTACCCACCGCGGATCCAAGGTAGACCTCGCCATCCCTGGGGGGCTGCGATCTGCGAGACCGTCGCCACATTCGAGGGCTGATGGGGAGGCCTTCAGAGTGGGTATTCACCGCGGATCCGAAATAGACCTCGCCATCCCGGGGGGGGCTGCGATTTGCGAAACTGTCGCCACGTTCGAGGGCTGCTGGGGAGGCCAGGAGAGTGGGCACTCACCGCGGATCAGAATTAGACCTCGCCATCCCTGGGGGGCTGCGGTCTGCGAAACAGTCACCATTTTCGAGGGCTACTGGGGAGGCCAACAGAGAGGGTGCTCACCGCGGATCAGAATTAGACCTCGCCGTTCCTGGGGGGCTGCGATCTGCGAGACCGTCGCCACTTTTGAGGGCTGCTGGTGGGGGCAGCTGTGTAGCTACTCACCGCGGGTCAGACTTGCACATCGCCGTCCCTGCTGGGCTGCGATCTGCGAACCTGTCGCATTTTTCGAGGGCTGCTGGGGAGGCCAGCAGAGTGGGTACTCACCGCGGATCCAACTTAGATCTCGCCATCTCTGCTGGGCTGCGATCTGCGAACCTGTCGCTACTTTCGAGGGCTGCTGGGGAGGCCAGGCGAGTGGGCACTCACCGCGGATCAGAATTAGACCTCGCCATCCCTTTGTGGCTGCGGTCTGCGAAGCTGTCTCCACTTTCGAGGGCTACTGGGGAGGCCAGCAGAGTGGGCACTCACCGCGGATCCAAGGTAGACCTCGCCATCCCTGGGGGGCTGCGATCTGCGAGACCGTCGCCACTTTCCAGGGCTGCTGGTGGGGGCAGCTGTGTGGGTACTCACCGCGGATCAGACTTACACATCGCCGTCCCTGCTGGGCTGCGATCTGCGAACCTGTCGCCACTTTCGAGGGCTGCTGGGGAGGCCAGCAGAGTGGGTACTCACCGCGGATCCAAATTAGACCTCGCCATCTCTGGGAGGCTGTGATCCGCGAAACTGTCGCCACTTCCGAGGGCTGCCGGGGAGGCCAACAGAGAGGGTACCCACCGCGGATCCAATGTAGACCTCGCCATCCTTGGGGCGCTGCGATCTGCGAGACCGTCGCCACTTTCGAGGGCTGCTAGGGAGGCCAGCTGTGTGGGCATTCACCGCGAATACAACGTAGACGTCGCCATCCCTGGGGGGCTGCGATCTGCGAGACCGTCGCCACTTTCGAGGGCCGCTGGGGAGGCCAACAGAGAGGGTACCCACCGCGGATCCAAGGTAGACCTCGCCATCTCTTGGGGGCTGCGATCTGCGAGACTGTCGCATTTTTCGAGGACTGCTGGCGAGGCCAGCTGAGTGGGCACTCACCGCGGATCCAAAGTAAACCTCGCCATCCCTGGTGGGCTGCGATCTGTCAAACCGTCGCCACTTTCGAGGGCTGCTGGGGAGGCCACCAGAGTGGGGAACTCACCGCGGATCCAAGGTAGACCTCGCGACCTCGCCATCCCTGGGTGGGGGGGGGGCTGCGATTTGCGAGACTGTCGCCACTTTCGAGGACTGCTGGAGAGGCCAGCTGAGTGGGAACTCACTGCGGATCAGAATTCGACCTCGCCATCCCTTGGAGGGGGGGGGGGGGCTGAGGTCCGCGAAACTGTCGCCACTTTCGAAGGCTGCTGGGGAGGCCAGCAGAGTGGGCACTCGCCGCGGATGCAAAGTAGACCTCGCCATCCCTGGGGGGCTGCGATCTGCGAGACTGCCGCCACTTTCGAGGGCTGCTAGGGAGGCCAGCAGATTTGGCACTCACCGCGGATCAGAATTTGACATCGCCATCCCTGGGGGCTGCGATCTGCGAGAACGTCGCCACGTTCGAGGTTTGCTGGGGAGGCCAGCAGAGTGGGTACTCACCGCGGATCCAACTTTGACCTCGCCATCCCTGGGGGCTGCGATCTGCGAGACCGTCGCCACTTTTGAGGATTGCTGGGGGGGAAGCTGAGTGGGAACTCACAACGGATCCGAATTGGGGTTCCAACTTGTGAAACTGTCGCCACTTTCGAGGGCTGCTGGAGAGGCCAGCATCATGGGTACTTGCCGCAGGCTCAAATTAGACCTCGCCGTTCCTGGGGGCTGCCCTTGCCCCAACGACTCAGGGGTTCAACTTGTTAATGCTTTTCACCAAGCCCTTACCCCTTGATCGGGGACCCGCGAGCCTCCCGATTGCCGTCTGCAGAAGTATATCCTTCCATGCCGCGTCATCACCCCGTATAAAAGTCTTCCGAGCTACTCATACCCCGCATTGCGCAGGGGTTGGGTATGTTACGTTGCCAGGGTAATTATTCGTTTTGCGGAGAGCCCCAGGCCTTCGAGGCCTCCAGTGGCCTCGCATGTCCCCCCTTTGACCGAGGGAGGATGATGAGGAAGAGGAGGAAGAAGAAGAAGACGAAGAGGCGGGTGAAGAGAGGAGGACGGATATTTTCGAATGTCGTATGGTCGATTTGGGGGATGCCATTGGGGGTCACGGGTTGGGGAGAGGAAGGACGGCAAGGAGGAGGAGGATGAGGAGTAGTAGGAGTAGAGTGATTTTTACCTTCCCCCATGGGGGAGGCGATGGTGCCCCTCTACGCTAACGTCCACATGAACGCCCCTCTCCGATCTCTCCCCGTGCAGCTTCGCCTCGGGCGCACCTGGCACTGACATTGAGTGCATCCCCCCCCACACCGGAGGTCCCGCGCCGCACAAGTACAGCCAAGACGATGCAATAGTGACCGTTCCGGGAGACTCGGGCCTTCGGGCCGTGTCGAATCGATTCGTGGCCGAGGCTCGATGTGGCCAGAAACGCCCCGCGATCCCGATTCAGCCTTTCGCGCTGCAGCACGGTGACTGTCAGAAGCTTCTTGCAAAGCGAAGCGCGTCTCCTCAGCAGCGTCTCGCTGCAGGGCTCGATGTGTCAATGGTCGCCTGTCGCTCCCGCGCTGCCGCTCCTTAGCAGGGCCACCCGCGCCCGTCTCTTGGGATTGCCCCTCGGTGCTGGCGCGGTGCCTGCGCGGTGCATTCCGTGAGTGCCCTCTCGGGGAGTGTGCATGCAAGTC